AGGGATGAATAAGAAGAAAGGATGGAGGAGAAGACTAAGGAGTAATCAAGAGTCATTAGCTCGACTGGTAAAAGATCTAGGCAAAGCTTAGAGATCACATGATCGAATGATGTTTGGGGTGAAACTAATATTACATGATGTGGTTTCAGGATTGCAGAGATTGCATGCTTCGGCTCAGAACCTCATGGTAATCTAAAAAAAGGAAGAAGGAGAAATACGGAGAAGAAGACAGGAGAATAAGAAAAACGAATGATAAAAAAGGAGAAGGAGAAGAATAAAAATAAACAAAAGGCAGAGAAGAAGTAAAGATGAAGAAGAAGAAGCAGGAGAAACATAAAGAGAAGAAAAAATTGTTGGGGACGGTTTCCACCACGACGAGATCAATAAAGAAAAAAGTTAAGTTTGAAAATGAGCCTAGCCAAACCAGAAAGGTGATAAGCCAGACTGACAAGCCGAATTGGCAAACCACCAAGCCGAACCGGCAAACTGCCGAGCATAAACAATGAGTCGGGTCGATAAAGACGAATCAAACCATTCATGTTCGCCGAACCAGATAGGTGGACCGGACCAACAAGATAGACCAAATCGATGAGTCGAGGTCGGCAAGGATGTGCCAAACCATTTAGCTGTCAAACCAGAGAGATGTGCCAAACCGGAGAGACGAGAGGAATCAACCAGTTAAACCGAACCAACAAAATTAACCAAGTGGGAACCGATCCATTTTTCTGATGGGCCTAGGTGATGATGAACAAGGCCCAATATAAAGCAATAAACATACGAGCTGAGTCATAAGCCCAAAAAAACATCTAAAAGCAAGATTTGCCCTAGAAGGACTTAGCCTTGCACAAGGAGATTTGTAAAAAAGAAATAGAAGGAAATTTATGACTATATTCATCGAAATTCCATTTAGGTTGTAGAGAGATATGTATAAATAGGAGACATGATCTATTGTAAAAAGGACAGCTGGAAAACCTAGAAAAACACTTCATCAAAAACTTAACAAAATAACAATAACAAAAACACCATCTTTAGATCTGTGTTCTTGTGTTTATCTTAGAATCTTCAAGTCCCTCTTTTATTTTTCTTAACTAAACACTATTGTGTGAATTCCACCTTACACAGGGATGAAGGAGAAGAAGAAGTGATTAAGAAGATGAAAGAAAAGAAGTTGAAGAAAGAGAAGAAGAAGAACAATAATGGACCATAAGAAGGAGAAGAAGAAATTATATGAAGAAGAAGAAGAAGTAAAAAAAAAGGAGAAGGATGATGAAAAGAAAGAGAATAACTTATGCATTTACTAAATCAAAGATTTATTGAGAAAAACATAAGTTAATAAATAAATTATGATCTTACTAAAAATTGAAGTGATAGTATATAATTTTTGATTCTCATAACACATATAATAAATCTATAACTTATATAATTATTAAAGACATATATTTTAAATCTCATTTTCATATCATATTTTGCAGATTATATAATTTAATTTTCAAAAATCATATACTTGCGCAGACGCGCAGGTCCAAAAGCTAGTGTTTTATGAAAATCGGCGTTTAATAAGTATATATGCTTGTTTAAAGTGTGGGTATCGGCCCATCAAGCCCATCAAAAATCCCAAATAAAAAATTTGGTTGAGCCACCACCATCTTCCTTCCCTGACATCATCACATTTTAGGATTTTCTCTCACACAAAACCCTAATTCCAATTAATTAAAAAAAATCAAATAATCAGTTATCTGCATTAAACCATTACCTTACTGAAGCGTATTCCATGTAATTTCTCTCAAACCGTTTCTGTGTTTTGTTGATCAAGCTTTTTATACAAATTCTGTAAACTAGTGAATAACACTTCGATTGGACTGTTGATTTGATGATTTTAGAAGGCAAAAAGTAGCTCGAATTGCTGATTGTTGTTTTAGTTGGTGTTTGAGGTGTATGACTTTGATGAATTTGGTAGTAAGTTTCTGATTTCTGAGTTTTTAAAGTAAAAATCATTTTTTTTGTTAGGTAAGGTCGACATTGGTGAATTTAAGTTTGTTATTCAAATTTGTTTTTTTTTATCTGGGCAATGCTACTTCCTGAATTTGATTCTATGAGTTATTTATAAAAGATTCAGTTCTGAATTTAGTTTTCTGGATATGCTCATCATTGGTGAAGCAAGTTACAAAACAAATTTGTTTCAAGTTTGGATTTTTTAGGTTAGAGTTTAATGGATAATCAACCGACTGATACACTTCCTCCTCCATCTCTAAAGTGAAATTCAAATGATATAGGATGGGATTATAGAATATTGTTTAATTCAACAAATACAGATAAGTTGAGATGTATATTGTGTGGAAAAGAGGTAGGTGGTGGTGTCTACAGAATGAAAAAAGCACATAGGTCATGTGAAGGGAAATATCTCTTCTTGTCCACGGCTAACTAAGGATTCTCACACAGATAAATATATCTTCAACTATATTGATAAGTGCATTGAAGATCTAGGGGCTGAGAAGGTTGTGCAAGTGGTGGCAGATAATGTACTAATAACTTAGCAGCTGCAGAAATGCTGAAACAGAAGAGACCAAAAATCTTTTGGTCTGGATGTGCTGCTCACACTGTGGACTTGATGCTTGAGAGAATTTCGAAGTTGCCTGTTTTTTTCTAAACTCATAGATCAAGCAAAGGCTGTCACTATCTTTTTACATGCTCAACATAAAACAATATCTATGATGAAAACATATACTAAGAAAAGGGATATAGTGAGACCAGGGGCAACACAGTTTGCAACTTGCTTTTTGATACTTCAGAGTCTCTATGAGAAAGAAGGCACAACTGAAGAACATGTTTGCCAGTGATGAGTGGCATGATTGTGAGCATTCCAAGTGTGTGAAGGGTGTGACTGCATATGATATTGTTATGGGTTGTGCATTTTGGAATAGTGTGATGGTAGTTTTGAAAGTGTTCAGTTCGTTGCTGGCCGATGGAGTGAAGTAACCTTCTCTTGGGTTTATCTATGGTGAGATTTTAGAAGCTAAGAAGTCTATCAAAGAGGCTTCTGATCATTTGGAGAGGAATTACGAACCTATCTTTCAAATTATTGATGAGAAGATGAAAGGTAAGCTAGATTGTCCTTTGTACGTTGCTGCCTACTCTCTCAATCCTTTCTATTGCTACAAAGATCCGAATATATATGACTTTGAGATCATGCAAGCATTCATTGCTTGTGTGGAGAATTTCTATCATGGTGATTTCGAAAAGAAAGACTTTGTCGTCAATAAAGAACTTAGCCTCTACAGAAACAAATGTGGCTCCTTTGGCATAAGCTTAGCCATAAAAGGATGTGAAAAGAAGGATGATAAATTCGATCCAGGTATATTTTCTCACTTTAATTTTATTTATTTGTTATTTAAGTAGAAGCTTAGCATATGATATTTTTGTCACCTGCTTAATCATAGGGAATTGGTGGGCCACTTATGGATGTGGTGCACCAATACTGCAAAAATTAGCTACGAGGATCCTTGATTCAACCTCTAGTTCTACTAGCTGTGAAAGAAATTGGAGCAATTTTGAAGGGGTTAGTTCATTTCTTCTTTAGTTTTCTCTTCCTGCATCTTACATTACATACACTTAAAGGCTAATCTTATGTTGCAGATCCACACAAAGAAAAGAAACAGACTTGATGTAAATCGGCTAAACAGTTTAGTTTATGTCCAGTTTAACACAAGGCTGTTTAACAAGCAGAAAAAAAAATCAGAGAAAGCAATGTTGATGTGATCTTGGATGATGTTAATTTTTGTGCTTACTACCCAAGCTCCTAGGGTACGAGAGCTTTATGACGATGACTTCGAATCTGAAGAAGAAGATGTTGTGGACATGGAGTTTGAACCTGATGTCTACCAAGAAGATCCTGTGTTTTATGAGGCACAACTTGCTTAGTACGGTAAGTTTTTTGTCTTTCTCATTCTGTATTTGTTTAAAGTATGAAGGTATGATATGATTTGCGGATGCCACGGTTTGTCCATGTGTCTTTGGTATTTGCGGATGCTTACTAGAGTTGGCCGTGCAACATAGATATGATTTTTTGATGTGCCTTTGTGTCTTTGTTTAGGTTTTGAAACTTAAAATGCCACAATTTATTATGTATTCATAAACCGAATGTATATGTCTTTTATTTGTTTTTGCTTCGTCTTCCGATCGTTTGTAATTGTACAAATCAGCCTTAACATTTCTTTTAACTTTTGTTTCAGGTTAATTAACAATTTTTAACTTCTAAGACATCTAAAAGCCACTACACATTGACTACTTGATCACTCAAGAACAAAAGGATGAAGAATTACAATCTTTTTATTATTATTTTGTGATCTCAAGAAGATCAAGACAATTTTTGTTTTTTTTATATCTTACGAGTGGAATTAATATTTTGGCATTTTGTATTAGATATGAGTTGGAAAAATCACAATTTATGTTTTATTTAATGTGATATTTATATGAATCTTAAGAAAATATGTTATTAATTTGTAATTTTGATATGTTATACTTACATGAAAAAAAACTTTAACAAAAAATTAATTATATAAAAAATTCCTTTCTGCTTCCTCTTCGATTTATATCTGATTTTTTTTTTAAAAAGTCGCTAGGCTTAGACCGAACGCCCGATCCACACTTAGCAAGATTCCAAACAGAGTACAAAAATAATAATAACTGTCCACGTTGATTATCTTTTTTTATGTTAAAAGTGTTATAAATTTAAACATCTCACTGTATGTCTGTACCAAGTTTAAATATTCTTTTTAACCATAATTGTTTGCATGATTAATAAAAAAATATATTTGTTGTCGTAAATAAAATATAAACAACAAAGTAAAAAAAACAAATTGTTTTTAAATCTTTATTGTACCAATCAAAAACTTTACACAAACTAACAAAAGAAAAAGCGTACATATTTATACATCGATTAAGGTATTATATTAATACGAAAATATGAAATACAATATATAGTTATTGTGTTGAGCATTTAATCAACCCATACAATGCTGAGGAACCATCTTACCATGAGCAGAACCGTCAACATTTTCGCACACTGCAGTAGAAGGACCATCTTCGACTCCGTTATGCTCTAGGTTAATGTCAACTAGCTCCACGTTCTTGCATGGAAAGCTCTTGCTGCATTGTAGATTCACTGCCACTTTGTTCTTCGAGGTCCCATATATGTTTTTTAACTTAATGTCTTGTATCTGAACGTGAGACTCTCCCTGGAAGAATAACAGACCACACATTTTTTTATTTAATTATGTGTTTCGTGTGATGAAAAAAAAGAAAAACATACTTTATCTCTAGTGTAGAAAGCAAACCTTATTTTCACAAGGTGGGTAAGGACAATACTTCTGATCGATGTTAATTGGTTTTCCAACATCAATCATCTGAATATTCTCGAACACAAAGTTAGAGACGATGATCTTTGAAGCTGAAGATTCCCAAGTCTTGATTCGTATACCATCGCTTGTGCCATTAAAAACGGTGTCTCTTATCGTTAAACCTGTAACATCCTTCTCGTCTTTGTTCTTCCCCAAACTTCCGACACTAATCCCGTGTCCGGGACCACACTTGACGTTAGAGATATCCATGTTAGTGTTTCCCGAAAGGATGGCGATACAGTCGTCTCCAGTACCGATGAATGTGTTAGAGATGTGAATATTGCTAGAGAAACCAAACTTAATACCATCAGTGTTTGGGCTATCGCCGGGAGCCGTAATGGTGACGCCGGTAATGTTGAACTGATGGACTGAGAAGAAATTGAAGTGTCCTATTTTACTGTTGAGTGATGTTATCCCATCAATTCTTGAATTGTTCACGAATGCAAATCCCATTGTCTACGAAAATACATAAGTTTATTATAAAACTTTCTAAACTTGAATATTACGTATCATATAGTTTTTATGTACATATTATCTCCTTTAAAACTATTTTCACATAAATAATTAACAGTTTGAACAATAATTAAGTAATTAAATTTAAGAATTTACGAAATAAAACAGAAACATGATTGAGCTATATTTTTTTCACTGTTTAAGGTTTTGTAATACAGTTTTAATGTAAATAATAATCATAATAAAACATTATATAAAAGGATTAAGAAATGATACCATAGCTAGTTTAGGACAATTGGTGTTTTTATGGCAGTCGTTGAGTGGCCAAGACTGCTTCCCTTGACCGTCGAGTGTACCGACACCAGAGATAAATAGATCATTGATGTATCTAAAGTTGATCCACGTATCCTTTTTAATGTCCTTAGGATTTGTAGGAGCCAATAAAGTTCCATCAATGATAAATTCAATCTGGTTTATGCATGGTCCTACGAACTCTATACCATCAAGATAGAATGTTCCTTTTGGTACATATATTTTACTACTTCCACTTATTCTTCCACATGCGCTTTTCCATACATTCGCGAACACCTAATATTGGACACATTAAGAATAACAAGAGAAGTAAATCATTAAACAAAAATTACACGATTAGTTTTAAATAGAAAAAATCTATCTTTGTGTTTTTTATTTGTTATGTACATACATTTGCGTTATCAGTCTTTCCATCAGGATTAGCACCATATCGTCGGACATTAAAAACCTTTTGCCTATTGGTCAGACGGGTACTTGCAACGGTGATGAACAAGAGAGACAAATACAAAGCCTTAAACAAAGAAGCAATGAAAGCCATTGTTTTAAAAAATTTTTTTGGGGTATATGGAGATTAAAAATTGTATGTGGGTTTATAAATGCTTGTTCCAAGACAGAATGAGAAATATTGGCCTATTTTCTCTGATTATATATAGAGTTAGTATGTGTAGATTAACTGTTAGATTCTATATAAAAAGAACTTGATTTTTGTTATCAATTATGGGTGAAAAATTAAGTTGTTTTTATTATAATGATTTTGATTGGTTAAATTGTTTTTATCCAGATTTTAAAATGTGTTCCCTTTTTAAAACAAATTCTTAATTTTAGTGAAAAGCCAATTAGATTTACCAGTAAACTTGTTTCCGTTAATGTTTTGTTTTAAATTAATTTCGTTTATTATGATATGTAAACAATAATAAATCATAATTAAACAAAAATGATATCAATTTAAAACCATAATGATAATTTCAGTCAATCAATTATATGTGGCGAATGTTAAATCAACACTTAAAAGTCTTCGTAAATGGCAATTAGATTATTCATTTGATGAGGTTTAATATCTTATAGTTAATGATATATCATTAGCTGTCGATGCATTTAATATTGACTAAAGTAATAATTAAACTGCAATTGTGAAATATAACAAATATGAATGTTTTTTTTTACATAGATGTAAATATTATATAAGAGTTGGTAATAATAGTTTCTATTTATAAAAAAGGTGAAAATTATCATGTTTTCATGTGTATTAATGAAATTTTATATCGTAGAAGTTCTATAAATTATTATTTGATAAATTAATATTTTTTTCTGATTTCGAGTTAACTCAGTTCAAAATATAACACAAATCGAAAGATAATAAAATATTAAGATAATATATTTTTAATAAAAAACTATGTAATATAAAATCTTACTAAAACCAAAAATTAATAATTACCATAAAAATATTTTATACATAGATATAAATATGATAATGTACTAAACTATGAGTATACTGATTTTTTTTTTGTATGAAAGTTAAAATATTTGCATATATCATTTATAATATTTAGAATGAAACTTTAGAAATTATCATAAATTTTATAGAAACTATTATTTGATTGATTATTAATACATAATTTATTTATCCAAAATCTATAAATTAATAACATATTTAATTAATAAAATATCAAAGTACTAACATTATTAATATATACTGTTTCTACTATATTTGCAAAAGAAGCCAAAGAAAGCTTATTATTTAGAGCATTTAATATACAAAATTTTCCATAAATTGTGTTTTGCATAATGTTATTGAAACATGTTATCTTTATAAGCAAACATAACTATTAATTTAACTTGCTGAGCATTGATATATCTATTTGTAGATATACTAAATAAATAGTAAAAGAATTTAAGGTTTTTACTAGCAATCAAAATTTGTGAAACTTATATTGCATACATATTATCTATTGCATACAATTATAGTCAGAGTGGTTCCTACCATTTTAGATGTCCTAAACAAATAATAGTATTTTTTATTTTTTATTTATAGATTTTACTATAAATGTTTTTGTTGATATTTTATTTTAATATACTAATTTTTAGAGGAGTTGTAACTAAATAGAAAGTAATCAAACAGTGGAAAAAAGAGTTAATGGTTATAAATACTATAGGAAAACGAAAGATTTTGAAAAGTGTTAAACTTGAATCCATACAAATCAGTGAGATGTTCACCACTACTGCACTATTGGAAAATAATGTCCTAAATGAATGTATTATTTTTTCTTTAGTTGGCACGATCTTTATGTCCTCCATTGATTTCATCAACCTTAATTAAGACATATGGATGAAGACACTTGTCAGGGTCAGGCTTCACACCCCCTAAACAGGCCAAAAAAGAATGAAACCGGTCTATTTAGGAGAGTCCAATCTCTCAGATTGACGAAAATATCGCAATTAATGATGATCACAACAAAGATCGGATCTAATCAAGCATTGAATGATGATTGATAGTCGATTGAGATCGGATCGAGTGAAGAAAAGAAAAGTTTTATTTTCTTGCCCGATCTCAGGAGATCATGTGATCAATGCGGAGCCGAAAGGAAAGGAGTATAAAAGGGGTGAAGCCTTCATTTCGAAAGTCAGGCTTTTTACTCTCATAAAGCATATGACGACGAACACAGCAAATCTCTCTTATTCTCTTATTTTTCTGGTTAAACGAATCCGCCGGCTAAACCGATTTCCTGTATATTTTGGCTCCGGTCTATTAATAAGAAAACCTCCAGATAAAATGTCCCGCCCTAATAAACTCTAAAGATGATAAAAAATATAAATTATAATAAAATAAAAGCATATAAATCATATTTGAATGTTTCAAAACATCACAAATGATATTTTATTTATTTTGTAAGTACAGATTTATTAAATAATTAAAATACATTTGTAAAAAAATAATAATATTTGTTTGGTAAAATTTAAAAACTGATAAATATTTTATATTATTTTACCCTAAAAATAATAATTGTTAGAGCGTTAACACATTTGTTTTTTTTGTTTTTTTTCCGAATAATGATATAAAAACCTTGTATAAAAACTTGGGCTCCTAACAATTCGGCATAGGTAAAATTGGGTGAAGGAGAGACGATGCTGTGAAACATTAGGCGGAATTTAGACCAATGTATGCCAATATTTTATGAAAATCGGCGTTTAATAAGTATATCGCCTTGTTTAAAGTCTGGGTATTGGCCCATCAAACCCACAAGCCCATCAAAAATCCCAAATAAAAATTTTGGTTGAGACACTACCATCTTCTTTCTCCGACATCATCACATTTTAGGATTTTCTCACACAAAATCCTAATTCCAATTAATCAACAAAAATCAAATAATCCATCATCTGCATTAAACCATTACCTTACTGATATATCGTGGTTTTTTTTATGGTTTTTAACCATGATATAAGTCCTTTTTTATTGAGTCTTTTTTATCTTTTTAGAGTCCTAGAAGAGTTTTTGCAGGTTATAGCATGTCTGGAGCATAATTGGAGATTTTGGAACCTTTTGGAGCATTCTGAGTTGAAGCCACGAAGTACCAAGCTCGAAGCAGAAAGTATCCCATATGGTGACGCTCGTCACCACCCTTAGTGACGCTCGTCACCCATCAAGAAAGGAGCGTGGCTGTTTTATTAAAAGTGTGAAGAAGATTTGCAGAATTGGCCCAGAAGTTCCATTATTTACAAGAAGACCCCAAACCGTGTTTAGCCTCTATTTATTAGGTTTTTCAGCCATTGTTGGCCATTATCTTAGTTTTTGAGAATTCAAAGAGCTTAGAGAGAGATTTATTCAGAGCTTTTTGGGGAGACAAATCCTGTACTCTTTTGAGAAGATTTCGAATCCCTTCTATTCTTTTACTCTTTCTCTTAATGCAATATTATTCAGTTATGCTTTGTGATCCCATAATCATGTCTGAGTAATCTGCTAGTTAAGTTAGGGCTTTTTCAAGGGTTGATGAAGAGATTGTAGAATCGCAATTCTGTTAGGATTATCTTTTGGTTTTTCATCTCTGCATGCTTTAAAATCGAATTTCTGAGAAACATCATCTAGGAATCCGAAAATCTTAGATTGTTAAATATATGTGAGGGCATTATTCATAACCTGAACTAGTATTTGATGAGCAAAACAACTTAGTGCAAAGAGATTTGGCTTAGGAGTTCTGTAAACAATTGAATCTGATCATTCCTGCATGCTTAGGTTGTTAGGATTTGCAAAGAGATTTGAAAATCTGTGATTTAGGCATAGATAACTTTTGCAATGAGAATTGATTAGTTATACATTAGTGATTCATGTTTAAAACGGTTCTTAATCATTCTTGATTTCCTGCATTCTACATTCTTGGATTCAACCTGCGAACTGTCCTGACTTAGCGTTTTTAGTCTTCTGAAACTTAGATCATCTGCCAAAAATCGTTTGCTTACTTTTATTTGTTAATTCGCATTACATACATTATATCCTGCTTAGCATAATCCGAATCTACAATTCGATAGTGTAGTTTGCATTACTCCCTTGTACTACAACTGCTTTTGCTGTGCACTTGCAGTAGTTTTATTTGGGTGAAACCTGATCCCTATCAAGTTTTTGGTGCCGTTGCCGGGGAGTAATTGCTGCTTTTCGATACCTAGTATTAGGATTTTGTCTAAGTTTTAATTTGTTTACTAACTTTGCTACTTTTCTTTGTTCCTGTTTCAGGTGTATGCCTAATCGCAGAACCAGAAGCAACAAGGAGAAGGAGCTTGTGACTTTGAGCATCGACGAACTAGCTAGGTTGGAGAGAACTAACAGGAAAGCTAAGAAGCAATCCACAATGGTGGCTCCACGTATCCTGGTTGAAGATGCAGAAGGTCACTTGGTTGACAGGGAAGGAAACAGGAGAAACGAAGAGGGGCAGAGAATTGATCAAGAGGGGAATGTCATTGTTGAACAGCAGGTTCAACAAGTGAATGAGAACGTGGGAGTCCCTGTTGCTGCTAATAACGCTGCTGGGCGTTTTGTTCAGAGGACTCTAGGTGATTACAACAGACCTGATCAGTTCTATGCCAACAGAGCTGCAATCCGAACTCCCGCCTTCCAGAGGAACGATTTTGAGGTTAAACCTGTCTACTATCAGCTGGTTAGCCAGCATCCATTCCATGGCTTACCTCATGAGCATACTATGGATCACATTGAGAGGTTTGAGGATCTGGCTTCAAGTGTCAAAGCTACTGGAGTCAGCAATGATTTCCTGTTCTGCAAGCTTTTTCCTTACTCTCTTGGAGGAGAGGCTGCATATTAGCTGAAGCAACTGGAACTGCTTCATTGACCACTTGGGAAGAAACTAAGAACGCCTTTCTGAATAACTTCTATGATGATGCAAGATCAGAGGACATGAGGACGAAAATTGCATCCTTTACACAAGGCCCTACTGAAGCTTTTAAGGCTTCTTGGATCAGGTTCAAGTCTTATCAAAGGGACTGTCCTCATCATGGCTTTAATCAGGTGTAATTACTTGGGATTTCTTCAGGGGC